TAGATGAACTTGATTCTACTGGAGCCGTATAAAAGAAAATGCGTTTGTGCTTCGGCACGGCAGCAGCTCTGCAGTCATGTAAGGCTGAGGTTGCATAAGACTTTATTACTTACTGCTGTGTGCAAACATTCTGACACTCTTGTCTGATGTCTTTACTTCAGCCCCTCCTTCACACCCTCCTGGTGGTTTACAGGGGCTGCAGAGTGAAAGACTCAAATTAAACACTGCAACCTTTACTAGCTGCTCAAAAGCAATGAGCAAATGACCTCATTATGTAAATATTGAAATATGGGTTCTGTGTGCTAACTCTATTGTATTCGCGGCTGAGTGGAGAAATAAAAGATTATTAATAGGTAATCTTGTATGGATTTATATGTTTACATTCATGTTTATTTATTAACAACATTCATTTAGTAATTAACACTTAATAAGTAAAGCTGATCATTCCTCAATGCATGGTTCATGAAGAACTAGTTTTTAAGCAGCACATTTTCATTATTGAGCGGGTGTTAGTATGCACTCTTGAGTAATGCGGATGTGCAGGTAATTACACTGTTCTGACCTTAGGAGCAGGCTGTGGCGTTTATGATGATTGACAGTGATCTGGATGAGGCAGATTGTGGAGATCAGAGTTTTCAATGAGAAAACCAGTTGGATCTGCTTAATTCCAGTCTCCTCTTCTTTACTGCGGGCCACTGTTCGTGTGTGTGCCTGGGTCTTTGCATAAGCTCTTCCACACATGCCACGCAATGCAAACTCAGCAGCAGTGCTGGTGACAGCGCAAGGGTGCAGAAACACCACCGACTGGCTGACGTGCTGCTGCTGGGGAAACTGCCTGTGGCTTGAAGGTGCAGTAGGTTCATTCCTGTGCCTGCCAGCTCCTCCAGCCCATGCCACATTCTGCAGGTTGTGCGGACCACCTCACGCCAGTACCTTGTACTTCTGCTTTTGAATGAATGAGCACAGTAAAAGATGCAAAGGATATGGCAGTTAGCTACTGTGATAACATTCACGTTTCTGTTCTGCTGATGTATCGACAGATGCGATCAGGCCTGATAACATCTCTCACACAGCCCTGCTCTGTTTGGCACAGAAACTCTTCCTCTTGGCCCCTGCTGTTCCCTTTCTCCTTTGTCCCCTAAAAGTCAAGTGTAGGAACCTACGAGAGGCTGCGGGCTGTAAATGGGGAAGCCACTTGTGATTTATACGTGTCATTTCAAAACACAAATGCACAGAAATGCATGGAGCCTTTGGGGTTAAATCCTGGTGTTGGTGCTAAGATCAGAGTGGAGAGCGGAGCTTTCGTAAGATGAGGTCGACATGTGAGTAAACATATCCTGTAGAGCCACCACTTCTTAAATCTCTGCGTACACCTGATTCCTGTATTGTTAGCCTGACAAAAACGGCCCTAAACAGGGTGTGTTTCAAAAGCTCTGAGCCTTGTTTTGATGGCAGTGCATTGTGTGTGTGTTGTGTGGGGGTATATTTGTCAGGACAGCTCACAAGCATACGAACCTTCCATACACAAGAACCATTGTTTTTTGTTTTTTTTTGCGACTGCTCATTTAAATGCAGTTCCTGTGTGTTTGCACACACTTTGGTCTGCAAACACACGCCCAAATCATGTCCTTTGAGTTCGCCATGAAGTGAAGATTCTTCTGTGAAATCATCATGAACTTTGAAGACTGAGGAAAGGTCTGATTTAGATTTTCAGTGAATCGACAGAACATACAACCACTCTGTTAATGGCTTTAGTAGCTATTACATACAGTACTCTTCTGTACCATACAGTAGGCTGAAAAGGAAATGTGATTGCATTTAGAGGTTGCTGGTTTGTGCTCTGTTAAGGTAAATCAATACTGCCAAGGGGCCTGATAATTATTCTCTTGAATTTCATGCTGAAGGCTGGAACACTGGGGAAAAGCATCAGTCTTGTCCAACCCTTCCTGACAGGAAAAGAGTAGGAATTGTTTATGCTTAAAACAGGGACTGAAAAACAGATTTTATCATTAAAAATGTGGAATGTGGAAAAAAACTGAAACTAAATCCCCAGAGAGTGTGGCTGATATTGTTGTCTACACCCAGGACCAAAGCGAGACTCCAATATATGCTTGCTTTGAACTATTTTGGTGTGATTTATAGAGTCCAAGACTGTAATAAATATATCTAGGTAGATAAAAAACAGTGTTTCTTTTGTATAACACACCATTCACAATCTGACTTCCCTGAAACCGTAAATACATATCACCTATGGGTTGCCTTACCTTCTTTCCTAGACAAAAAGAGCTCGAATGAAGGCTTGCCAGGTGGGCACGTAGCTCAGGTGGGCTCTTTCCTTGCAGACTCGTCACGAGGGCCTGGTTAGTACTGCAGTGCCATTGTGCTGACACTGTTCATATTACACTTCAATTACAGTTCAAGTTAGATTAGAAGACCTTTATTATCCCAAAACCTGGGGCATTTATTATAAGGCAGAAATCAAGAATTTTCACATGAGGGGTGCCTGTTCAGATGTTGCTCACTTGCTGGCTCGTAGTTTACTTATCCAAATCTCATCCCAGGTGTTTCCTGAAGAATCCCAGGGAATCTACCGCTGTGACACCATCTCTCTGCAGCTTGTTCCGGGCACTCGCAGACTGACACTGTAAACTCCTCTAAGTATTTAAACGTCTGTATAGTAGACACCTACTCATTAACTCTTCTTTGAACTGACCATCTGTTTTCGAACTGCTTTATCCGAATCGGGGAATCAGGAGCCCATCCTGGCAAGCAGTGGGCACAAGGCAGAATACAGCCTTGATGGGATGCCAGTCCTTTCACAGGGCAGACACACAGACTCAAACAGCGAAACACACACTGCACACTCACACCAGGGAGGACACCAGAGCACCCAGAGGAAGTCCACACCAACACAGGAAGAACTTGAAGGCTCCAACCAGGCAGCACTCCGGGTCAGGAACCCGGCAGAGCCCCCTGGAACCTGACCTGTGCACATCCACAGTTCGGGAACCGTCTGTGGCTGTTTCAGGGCCTTTAGCGGAGCCTGTGTTTGATCACAGTGAATTTGCCGCTTGTGATAAGGGGCAGGTTGCAGCAGTCCTGTTCCTGCACGTATCCAGGTGCTGTTCTGCATGCTGACCTTCCAGCGATGTCAATCAGCTGACAACAGATGCTCTCCTCTTCCTCGCCGTACTTTACTTTTGTTCATCTACCTGTACAATTTAGTGTAATGGTTTGGAGGCACAGCGCTCATTGTCAGTGATTATCAATATTTGATGCTCATTCTGTCTACACTGTAGAGTTTAAACATACAGAGAATCAACCGCCTCTGCTTGTTCCTTTGCATCTCGCACTCTGGCGCTGATCCCAGCTCAAATCCAAAACCTTTCAGGATTTCGGCAGTTCGGTCAGATCCTAACAAGTGCAATATAGGTATTTCCCAGTGAATGCGACAGATGGACGAGTGACTGTATTTGAGATTGCTGTAGCTCACCTTGCTCAGGAAATGGCCGCCAAGCCTGAAGAGGACAAGACTGACTGAGCCCCCCAACTCATTGTCCCGCCCCACCCCCGTTACTTTCTCCAGGAATGAGTCAGGGAGCTGCTTCAAGTGTGAAGTTGGGCGGCAGGAGGAGAGCGAGAGAGATGAGCACAAGTTCAGGAGATACAAATACACAGGAAAGAGGAAATAAAGCTCATATTAGGATCTCACCTTCCTCACGCATATCTGTTAAACATTGCCTCACTTTTAGACATAACAAGAGCCAAGTCAACTGTCGTGCTGTTTGAATATTTTTTACAGTCCAACTGCGCTGTGTGCATGCCACGATGGTGTGGAATTTAAGTGCTTAATGAGAGTCACACTGGTAAGCGTTAAAATTGTAATTAATGTCATAATGCTCGCAAGAGGCTGTATATCACACTCATGCTGCCCAGGCAACGTCTCAAAGCACTTTTGTGAAAACCTTCACTGTGACCAAAAACGGGGCATGAAAAAGGTTTTCTTAAAGGGATCTGACACGGCATTTATTTATTGTGCTGGAATAAAATGCACAAGTTTTTAAATTAAAGATCTAAATTATATTTGTGTGGGTGTGGAAGCAACATCAGCAAATTGTCTCTAGAACCGCGTAAGAATTGTGCATTTATCCATGATAAAAAGCACAGCTGCATCGTACCCAGATGCTTATTATACTGTACACACCAGCAGTTAACCTGTATATGAGGCAGTACTATACTTGCTCACCAACAGTTATAGGAGAAAAAGATCAATAAGGGATCTATGACGCACTGCAGTTAACGAAATTCAGTTTACTACTGTGAGGAAAACGCGCTTGAAGGGTTTTCCACCCTTTTAAAAAAATACAGCGTTTTGTCTTTACACAGCTCTTGAATACGGACTCCGACTCCTACCCGAGGCGACATGGAGTTCGCATGTTCTCTCTGGGTCTGCTTGGTTCCCCCCCGGTTGATCCGGTTTAATCCCCCAGTTTTAAAATGCGCCGCCCTGACGTCACCCCGGGTCTGCGCCAAGCGATGGACTGGTATCTAATCCAGGTTGCAGACCCATTTACGGCCTGTGCCTACCGAGTTAGGCACCAGTTTCTCGGGACTTTTCTCCCGGTGGAAAGGTGAAAATGGTTAGATGACAATAAATACCGATTAGGCGTCCAGCTCCACTGCCAGTCTGTGTATTATTAAAACACGTTTCGTGACCTTCTTCTGTGTGCTACACTTTCTCGACTCGAATGCGCCTTGAGCTCACTGGAACTGTGCAGCATGTGCTTTGCATTAATTTCGGCGTTATGCTCAAAGTAAAAACGCATTTGTATTCATGTAACTTTACGCATGAGGTCGCAAATTCTTTTGGGATGTTTATAAATGAAAACGAGGTGCCGTGTTGCAATACAGTGCACGAGCAAACTGTAGCAATTTTGTAGCAACATCTAGAATTGCACAGTTTATACCAGCATTAAATCCCCAGGAAACAGCCTCGTAGACGTTAGTGGATCCTGAAGCAAAGCGAATCTGTTTAAGAAAACCTTCCTTGTTTCCTGATCCTGGACCAATCATAGGGCAGTGGTGTTGAAGCACAGCTACAGTATAAACCTCGACTCAGTGACTAATCAGCGCAGTCTGACTTCGCCTCAGTCACAGCACCCGCCTCGCAAAGCAGTCCCATCAACAGAAGTGCTGTAAGTACCGGTGGTTGCAAAGGTGGAAATAAGAAATAATTTTATCAGTGAGATGGTTGTTTGTTCTTTGTTGCTTTTTGTTTTCGTTAATCTGTGATGTAACCCCAGCCCCCTGCGGGTTGTTTCCAAGACACGCACAACGGAGAAATAATATGAATTGTCCAAGCAGATCATTTCGGGGCTGTTAAAATTGCACGCAGTGGCGCTTAACAGCTGCGTTCACGAAGACTTAAAAGTTCAAAAACTTTGACACGGTTCGTGTGCGCAGCAAGATTCCAGCTCCGCTGTCACATCCAGATGTGAGGGAGTTGTTTTCTGCTCTTCTGCTCTCCTGCTCCGGGGGGGTGGACGCGGAGACACTGTGCAGTCCCGGTTTCTCCAGCCCCGTCTCATTTCTAAGGTGTTGACCGAGATCTCCGCTGTGAGTTCACCGTCTGCAGCTACTGCAGGATCTTGGGTTTTTTGGGGGACAAGATTTAGAAGACCTGGTGGCTATGCAGACCGCGTACATTTCCATATTTTGTAACAAAAAAAAAACACATTTGGATCTCGTGTACTGGTCAGCAGTGAGTATTGCCCTAGTGACCAACGTTTTGAAGATTCCATGGCCTGAAGCAAGTTAAACCTTTTGCAAAATTTGCGTGCATTTTTTATAGTAACTTTTAGCTACATTGCCTGTATCCTCGGCACTTAACGATGCGATAAAGGTTAAAAAAGTGTAAACGAGGACAGCACTGTGAAATATTTTTGCAAATATTCCATTTTCTTATTTCTGCATCAGTGGTGAAACTACAGAATACCCCCACCCCCCCATTTAATACCAAAGTTGTTTAATATTTAAACCAGCAGCATTGTAATATTACTTCGTCGCCTCTTGACTTCTCGGTGTCTGGGATGTGATCCGGGAATCCCATCAGCCGGGCGCGGCAGAAGACCCCTCCCGACTTCGAGACTCTCGTAGCTGGAGCAGCGCTGCACGGGGTTTCTGAGTCGGACGCTGAGATTTACAAGTGTCCAAGTTAAAAGTGGGGCAAACAAATAACCAAGAACATGCCAAATGCTTTGTAAAGCACTGTAAACGTAACGGGCGTGGTTCACGGATTTAGCATTGGAAGTGAATTGAAAGAATTGTAGAGTGTGTCCGAATTAAAAAACAAACTCTTGCCTTTGAGGTTTCTCTGTTTCTATGAGTTTACGGCATATTTAATCCGCCTGAAGATGCGAGCTAGGGGTGATTTTATTCCGTATGAACGGAATAACCACCTTTTTAGGTTATAATTTTGCTTTTTTCAAGTGTTGTATATATATGTATATGTCATATCAGAGAGAGCTTAAGTGCTTCGGGACGGGTTTCCCCATTTCTATACAAAAGCGGTTTTTGTTGGCAGAGGCCGAGAGCTGGTTCGCCCCTCGGAGCTGCGGTGCCCGAGCCTGTGCAGACGAGCAGGCTCTGGGACTCCTGTCGGCTGTCTTGCTGCTTGGCCAATTCCGTGCAGTTTTGTTTTCTCTGTGGCTCGCAGTCATGGTGTTGTTTTTTAACTAAACTCGACACAATAGTGAAAACCATTTAGTGACTCGGCGGCATTTCCTGACTTCGCATGTTGTTTCAATAAAACTTGCTCTCAGTGAGCAATTTGGAAATCCGAGCGTTAAAGACTCCTCCCCTTTCTGTTCAGCTTCAGCATTGCAACAGGAGAAGCGTAAATACGGGCCCTGCAAGTGGAAGTGGAGTCGCAGCTGGGCGTTAGTACTGGACTGTGGGAGAACTGGACTGTTGCAGTGGTTCAGCGAAAGTGCACTGGGGATGTCGAAATGTAATGTCTGTATTACGTGGAATGGCTTTCACATGGTGACCAACATCTGACAGGTCCTCAGGTGGATATAGTTCTCTGAAAACAAAAAGACCTGGAGAGTCTAGAAAACTCTCAAGCAGATGGGAATGTGAAACCCTTTGCGTTTATGAGCTTTAGAGTGGAATCGTTTCTTCGTAGCAGAGGTGTCTCTTAGATCACCTGACGAACCTGGGTGCTCCTCATCGTTCTGTGAGCTCGGTACTCATTCGCTGCGTTGGAAACCTCCCAGTTTGTGGGTCTTTATCAAGGGTGTGGCTAGACGGAATCGACCCGGTCTTCCTGCACTGGTTTGACACCCTGAGGAGGTGCCAAAGGCAGGTACAGCTGAGGTACAGCTCGGAGGTAAAAGGCAGCTGCTGCCAGGTGTGTTTTACAGCGAGCAACTCCCTAGATATTATTTTGTGAAACTCGGAGGCCGCAGCGTGTTTTAACAGGCCCAGGGGGTGGCAGATGAGAGGAGACCACAGGGAGAAGCTAGAGAGACGATAATTAGCTGTGTTTGCAGACGGTTGTGTTCTTCAAGCAAGAGGGCTGCTGTAATTACAGGGAACACATGGATTCTGGATTTCTGCGCATGTTGTAAGAGTGGGAGCACCTACAGGAATGTGGTCACTTGAAATCCTTTTTACACATCCGTGAAACGCCCTCTGTGCTCAGTGCAGATCTCCTGTTCCCCGCGCTGCAGCGCTCAGTTACAGCTGCACTGGTGGCCAAGTCCTGCGTTTCTAAGATTCTCGTCATTTTCTTTTACGAAAATATATGAGCAGCAGGCCGTTTGCCCTGTTTAAGCCTGACGGGTGGCTTAATTTTAAGATACGCCATGAAAGATATATTTGTTCTGCCTTGAGCAATGATCTAACTCCTGAGGGCAGGTGAATGAAGGTTCGTGGCAGGTAAGGTAATCCCGGCAAAATTCTGCATGACTCCTTCTCCGGTCAGGATATGGGATACAGATAATGTGCGCCAAGTTCTCCTCTTCATCTCTCTTTCCCCCCTCCCCTGTAGAAGAGGCTGGGCTGATCAGGTTCCCTTGTCTGACAACCCCAAGCATGTGGTTTTCTTCGGAGCAGGGTGGATTAAAGGAGCTTCGTGATAATCAATGAAGAAGCCTGGGAACCCATAATCTGTGCTAAAATAAGGTACACATCAGAGAGGCAGCCTGGGAAACCAGCCCCCACGAAAGGGCAAGGGGCACCCAGAGCACAGCCTGCAGTTACGACAGAAGAGTCCAAATTAGAGAGCAGCTCACCCACAGCCAGTAGAGATCTGCAGTGCACAGCTTTGTGACGTGAACGTGTGGACATATTGTTCTACAGATTAGTCCCCGATCTGCAGTCTTACCAGAACAGCAGAGCAGTTACAGACATCCAGCTCGTTTGGTTGCTTGGAGCGGACTGGTCTCGTCCGGCTGTTTCTTGTGCTCCCACAAGCCCTTGCGGCCCCTTCCAGGGCAGCGGAAGCCCGTCTCAGGGTGTGAAACCGGGCCGTGTCACCCCCAGCACTCCCGGGGGTGTTCAGGCGGCGGGAAGGAAGCATCGGTCTGGCACAGCGGGTTTCGTGCTCGTCAGCAGCAGGAGAGGGTGTGCCCCAGGCGCCAGTCCGCCCAGGCGCCAACTGCCAGAACCGCGCAGACCTGGGGTTCCTCACACCCCCCTTTCACTCGGCTTCAAATAGAAATTAAGCCAAAACGATGTCTTTGCTGATCGGGTTATGAGTTTGTTCCCAAGTTAGTGACATTTGGCATGACGCAGGCGATAGCGGAATTACATTTGGAAGGTCTGACACTGTAGTGTTCCAAACACGTGGTGAGATTGCAGTTTTAATGTAGGTCAGCAGTGTTCTGTTAAGGTTTAGGTTCCTGGCTGCTTATCACTGTAAAGTCACGGTTGCCCAACCTGAGCTGTAACCAAGACGTGTTACTTCAGCTGCTGTTGTCTGTTGGACAATAAAAACAGCAGGTGTGACATCATGGTTGTTACTCCAACTCCTGTTGCTCAAGAAAATTGCTGAAACAACACTGGGCTGTGGTTTAAACCCTTGTGTTTCTGTTGTTTCGATTGAACAAAAACATGATAAATGCTGGTCACAGACTAACAGCCTTCTTGAGTGCAGGGAGTGTACAAAGGCTGTCAATTAATTACAGAGTGGGAATTCTCTGAACTTGTTCCAGTAAGTGTTTAGAGCTACAAGTGCTCCACAAATCAGAGTGCTTGCTTGCCTGCTCTCTGTAGCTGTAAAGCAATAAAACACAGCACAGACCTTGTGTGGGGGAGGAATTCAATGTTTTTCTTCCTTCTGTGCTTAGAATAGTACATTTGCATAGAAGCAAACACAGTCATGTTGCTATAATGGTTTTGTCAAATGAAGTAAAATCTTTTTTTTTCTCCTTGGCCACAGCTCAAGTGTATCTGTATCACACGTACCTGTTTTGGTTTTAGAAAATGGGGCGCTGTGGCTCCAAACAGCTTTGCTCAGAAAGAACTACCGCACCTCTGTCTGCTCTGTATCTTATCAAGACTTTGTCTGATGTTTTTTTTCATGTTGATATGAAAAGAATGAAGCAGGATAAGAAACACGCCACCGTCAGTGCCATCTCAAATACATTTCCTGTCCCTGCCAGATATAGAAATGAACATTTCGTTTTCTTCTTTTGGACCAAATGTATCTTGATTTTAAAAATACAACAGTCATAGTAAAGGGGGAAAACTCAAGTGAGCTGAACTTATGTTTGTATGTTTTAAATAGGCCAGTGATTTTGTCCAAGAACAGACATAGGAAAGCTGCCAATATCACAGAGTTCTGCACAGTTGTGCTCAGGCCTGTCCCACTGCTGTAAGAATGTGGCTCAGTTATTCTCCAGCCAGGAGGAAGGGTCGTTGATAATGACTTGATCACTGTGCACTTGTCTGTTCACTCAGTGTGGCGACATGCATTGTCAGGTTCTGCTGACCCAAATACAGAAATCCAGTTTCTTACAGCCATATAACAACCACGATGAAGGATGGCCCTCTAACGCTGATAAAACCACAAATGTGTTTGTGTTCCCCTCTGTTCGATAATGATTACGTATTATAGTAATTACACAGAATTGTGTTTTATGGTATTAAAAGCATTAACTCTTTAGGTTTGGATATGATACTCTATAAATACAGAACAAGATATGAACATTAAATCAAATATCTGCATTGCCTTTATATTGTTGACAATTAACCGATTAGAGGCTATTTTATGTCACTGTATTAGAACTCCATTAGTGCGTTTCATGTTAATAATTAAGGAGGTGGTCTGAGGGGTGAGCTGTGTCAGTGTGCGATGATGCAGAGGAGCAAGTAGGATTTAATTCTAACACTTAAAGGTAGGAAGAAATAGAAAATAAATTTATCATTAGGTTGTAGAGCCTTCTTTAGGTGTGAGAAGTGTAGCAGGCAAGCAACAGGCGCAGGGCAGGGCAGGACACACACAGGTAAACACACACACACTCACACCAGGGCCAGTTTGACCAAAAGCCAGTTAACCTCCCGGTATGTCTTTGAGCTGTGTGAGGAAACCCACACGAACACGGAGCATGCAAGCTCCATGTAGATAGGAGCCCAGGTGCTGAGCCCAGGGCAGTGTTAACCACTGCACCACTGTGCTGCCCAAAGGCACAACAGCTGCAACGTTATGATTTCCGAAGACCTTCTGCAGCTCCTAATCCTAACTGCTGCCAATGGTGACTCCAGTGCAGTGGAATGGGAGTATTTTTATAGGAAGACGCATTCAGGAGAAGTGTCCTTTTGGTTTATCTTACCCAGAGACGCTCACGGTCGCGTCGCTACAGTAACGTATGTTTTCTATGTGTTCTGCTTCTCTTAGGAAGCTCTCCAGATCTCCTGCCTGGCTTCCTGCCTGTGTAATAAATTGAGGCCGTTTCCTTGCCAGGACAAACCCCAAGTATTTTGATGGCAGGGTGCATTCCCAGCATGTGGAGGATGAAAATGTCAACACGTGTCTCTGTGGTTTACGTGCTCTTCAGTGGGGGGGGTCCCCTCCTGTAGGTCCTTTGGGCTGGGGAAGAGCTGTACAGGTGGGAGGGCGTGGAGGAGGACACTGCGCTGTCTGTCCTGCCCCGTGAGTAGTATTCTTCTGTGCCGAAGGGAGAGGAGCCGCTTCAGACGCAAAGTGAGGCTCCGGGGGAACCGCGAGTCACTCCTGTGTTTCCTGGCATGGGTGTCGGCGACGTACCCCGGGCCTCGGTCAAGGGAACTCGCAGACTGACCTGCGGGAGTTTGCAGGAGAATCTGCAGAACCAGATTCCTCCCTTTACTCACCCTCCGGCTTTTAAAAGGGCTCTTCCTTTAGTCTGTCGTCCGGCTTCAGGCCAGTTACTGTTCTAGTTACTATTCGTTTTTTTCTTCACTCAATGAAGCCCTAGACGTGCTCTAAGCAGTCTTTCAGACCAAGCCTCCCGGGACAGGGTGTCTGGGTGTCTGGTTTGGGATAACGCCGCTTGTCCTGTCCTTCCAGACCATGGTGTCCCACAAAGAGTTCGAGAGTGCTGGGAAGCAGCCCGGCCTGCAGATCTGGAGGATTGAGAACATGGACCTGAAGCCTGTCCCCAAGCCTCTCCACGGCAGCTTCTTCACAGGCGACTCCTACATCGTCCTGCAAACCACGGCCGCCCCTTCCTACAACATCCACATGTGGCTGGGTGAGTGGGCGTCGGCTCTGTCCTCGCACGCGCAGACTCGGAGATTACGTTTGTTTCCTGTCTCCTGCACAAGGGAAGTGGTTTGCTTCTGACCGTGGTTTATTTTTGTGAGGGTGCAAAAAAAAGAGAAGAAAGTAGAACAGTCTTGGCAAGTGAAAACCCCTGCAAGGTCAATCGAAATGGCTTATGAGTAAGTTTTTTTTTTATATAAGTGCTCCTTAGAACAAGAGACACCAGGGTCCCAATTCATTAAATCCTCTTTTTCATGCTTGGAAGGTCAAGCATTTTGATTTGGGAGCTGGGGGGGCTTGTTCTTACTTCCCAGCATTAAAAAATTTGGTAGAAATCTTTCATGACTTTGACATTGAGATTGTACTCGTTAGAGTGCCTCCTACTGGCCCACAACATGAACTCTAGAGAGCATGTGTTTGGGGCACAACAGCTGAAGAAAGTTCCGTTCCTCTAGTGAACTGCGACTCTCAATCTTTTCCCATTTGACAGAAGGTTTCCAGCACTATTAGAATGTTTGTTAGGATATCTGTCACAAATGCACAAAAAGAGAGAGCGTAAGCGTTAAAATTGTAATTAATGTCATAATGCTCGCGAGAGGCTGTATATCACACTCATGCTGCCCAGGCAACGTCTCAAAGCAATTTTGTGAAAACCTTCACTGT